CGTCCTTAGACACCGGTACCGTACCTATTAGCGGGGAGGACGGCAGCGTGTTTGCCGGAATCGTCGCGATTGCACCCGACGGCATCTCGCTAGATTGACTGTATTTTTACCGCCGGCGGAGAACGCTCAAAAAAGAAATCGTAACGCGAGGAATGGGTATGCTGACTTTATTGAAGACAACGTATGCTTGTCGTTTGCGGCGATGAATCGCTGGGCACCTTCGTCGACACGACGGGAGGCGTTCAACTCGCACCAACGCCCCGCATTCTTTCTTTTTTTTTTCCCCTATCTCTTCTTGTTTGGGCCTACCTCAACCGACGTGGTTATCCATTGCTGCCTGCACTTCACAGCTCTTCGACACAGAACAATAATTTAGGTGGCCGAGTGAAACAATTATTACGATTGTTTTCAATCTGAGAGGCACGTAGGGAGCCCAGTGGACCGCAGAGCCTGGACGGCTGGACCGTAGCCAGCTGTTTGTAGTCAATAGCTACAAGACTTCACAACACTTGGCTTATTGAATCAGGCGGCAGCTTGCGCCACCTAGGAGGTGTAGTAGTAACCGCAAGATGCACTAAAAAAATGCTCTACATTCACTAACTCTCCTGAGGCTCTTGAACTACGTATGTACTGCACCTATGACAACTCATGCGCCAACACACCAACCACGATACCGAACACTCTTACGGGCACATACATATGAACAGTACAACAAGGCACAAGCAACTGCAACACGACACCACCGCGACTCTCTACACTGACCAACCAACCGACCCGATTCGTATATATGCCCTACCCGGTTCTGACAAGGATTAGGCAGGTGACTGCCGCTGTCTAGTTGATGAATACAAAAAGTATCTGCAAGTATTATTAGTATACAGTTGTTCTGAGTATTTAGATTGGCCGGCTAGACACCTCTCTTAATCTAACGCTTTGAAAGGCAACATGATATGAAAGTAATCGGCTAAAGTAACACCACATGGCATGCTCCCGATCAGTTTCGGTTTCAGATTCACGCAGTGATAAGCTTACTAATGCCATGTAGCCCCATGCTCGTTCCGCGCGTGTAATAGCAGCAAGGGTTACAATAATATCTGCATTCCTAGTCAGTAATCGGCTAGAGGTAACATAATTCTTAGTCTTGTGTTGTTAAATACCCCACAAAGCCCAGCGTATCATATTTGCTACGTGGAGTTTGATAACTCAAAAAGTGACAATAAATTGCGTGAAGCTGAGACCATAGCGTTATTATTGTAATAACTCTATGGCTAAGACCAAAGCCTGCAGTATCGGTTTTGATACGCTGACAGAGTTTTCCGATTTGGGTAGTTCAGCAAGGCCCCGCCAGGCTGCCGTTGGCAGCTAGAGCAAGATGGCCGCACGCAGCAGCTCGCTCGAAGCGCTCGAAGGCATACCGTCGGCGTCATTTTACTCGAAAAACAGTAAGCCGTCCTATAATCGGCACTTTCTTTTTTTTTTTGCTCAGAAAGTGTTGCGCAACCACATTATTCCGTTCGCTGTTGTTTTTGAGTCCCGTCCGCCTAGTAACGTTGCTTCAAATTTCTGCGTAGAATTTTCGATACAGTGGGTCGTAATTGATGGCACAATTTTTGTACCAATTCTGATACGTTTTCTTGGTAAAGCTTTGAATAATACACGTTTTAATCGTTTTTTTATTGATTTTTTCCTTCTAATTTTAGGTTCCTAAGTTAGGAACATATTGAACAACATCGTCGCTGGCGAAGATGTCAGCGATTTTAGTGATCTGTCGGAAAGTGACGAAAATTAGTCCCCCCGCCGCGGCTGAGCCCTCCGAGACAAGTGATGATGAAGAAACCGTAAAAAATTCCTTCGGATCATCTGTAGCTTCGTCTTCTCGTCCATACAACAAATGGCGAAAGGAATTGCTCCAAAACAGTCATGCTGAATTTTCCAAAGTATTCTTTGAGCCGTATGCCATAGATTCACCATTGTTCCTTTTCCGCCAGTTTCCAAGGACCGATATCATCATCATCATCATTTATTATTCCTTGAAGGCCCAGTGGGCATTACACAAGGGAGTGAACACTTAAAAAACAAACAAGTAACAAAACAATTTATCTACAAAAACACGCTGTAATCTAGTTATGGGTTAGAAAAAATAAGCTAATGGCTGCAGAAAATTTCTTAGTATCAGATAAGGTAACAATTACGTCAGGCAGTGAGTTCCAGTCGTCAATGGCCAATGGTAGAGTGGACATTTGGTGAGTGACGGTTGACGATGAAATCGGACGGAGTTTACAAGAATGGTCGAGACGAGGGAAAATGCGGTAAGGAGGTGATAACAAACTTTGTCTGAGATGACTGTTGTAATAAAAGATCCGATGAAGAAGAGAAAGACGAGACACCCTGCGGCGGTGAGAAAGAGTGTCAAGGTTAGCTGATTGGCGAAGTCCTGATATGCTTGCGTATGGGGAATAGTCGGAATAAATAAAACGGAGGGCCCTGCTTTGAACGGATTCCAGGTTGTTAGTTAGGTATGCCTGCCACGGTGACCATATGGAAGAAGCGAATTCTAGTTTAGTTCTGACCAAGGTAGTATAAGCTAGTTGTTTTACGGGGGATGTAGCTTGTCTGAGGTTACGGCGAAGAAATCCGAGAGTGCGGTTAGCATCGGCGATCACAGTTGTTATATGAGTGGTCCATGACAGGTCAGATGTCAGATGAATTCCTAGATATTTATACGATGAACAAGCAGTTACTGGGATGCCAGAAAAGTGGTAAGAGGAGGATAGAACATGTGAACTGCGGGAAAAAGATAGCGATTTACATTTATTATAGTTTAAAGCCATTTGCCATTTATGAAACCACTGAATTATAAGTTGGAGATCGTTTTGCAAGGTTAGCTGATCGTGGCGTGAATGAATGGGTCTATATATGACACAGTCATCGGCGAACAAACGTACTTCAGAAGTGATGCAATGATGGAGATCATTAATGTAGATTAAAAAAAGAAGGGGGCCAAGAACGCTTCCCTGAGGGACGCCAGACGATACTGCGCTTGTGGTAGATTTTATATTGTTAATAGAAGTGTACTGTGTGCGATTAGTAAGGAATTCAGAAATCCAATTGACTACTGAGGGGTGAAGATTAATATTTCTTAGTTTCATTAAAAGACGTTGATGAGGGACCCTGTCAAATGCTTTGGAGAAGTCAATAAAGATGGCGTCAGTTTGAGCATTGGAATCGAAATTTGAGTAAACGTCAGTTAGAAATGCTGTTAGCTGAGTTTCGCATGAGTAGGACTTGCGAAATCCGTGCTGGTGCTTAAAAAGGAGGTTATGAGAGTCTAGGAAATTTATTATGTTAGAATAGAGAATGTGCTCCAAGAGTTTGCATGAAACGCTGGTGAGCGAGATGGGACGATAGTTGCTGATTAGTTGGCGATCGCCTGTTTTATGAACGGGTATGACGTTAGCAACTTTCCAGTCTGATGGTACTTCAGAGAGTTTAAGAGATTGAGAGAATATGTTGCAGAGGAAAGTGGAAGAAATGTGTTTAGTGTTTATTAATACCTTAGAGTTAATTTGGTCATCTCCGGAGCTGGAGGACACCTTTAGTTGATCTATAGCCTTAAGTACTCCAGTACGGTCAATTACGATAGGATCCATGAGAGGGTGAGTGGAATGGCACGAGTCGGGAATATTTAGAAAGTCCTCGTTAGTAAAGATGGAGCAGAAGAAATTATTAATAGCAAGAGCGCCGTGTTTATCAGAAAGCGGAAGTCCGTCGTCATCTACAAATTGCAAAGGAAGTGAAAGTGCCGGATTGATTATTTTCCAAAACTTCTTTCGTTTCGTGGTTAGTATGTTGGGGAGGTCGATACTATAGAATTTGGTTTTGGCGTGATTTATTGCTGATTTATAAGCCCTAGCGCATTCGTAGTAGGCGTTCCAAGAAGCCGTAGTGTTGACAGCCTTAGTCCGCTTATAGAGTCTTTTTTTCCTATTGGATTGACTATGAATTGTTTTATTGTACCAAGGGTTAGTGTTGTCAGATATAATACGGGTCAGTGAAATAAAGCGTTCGATTAGGTAAATCATTTTATCTTTGAATAGAGTCCAGTTTTCATTAACCGTTCTTTCCCAGAAGTTAACTGAGAAAGTATGATAAAAATCTTCGAGGTTCGAGTTGATTGATGCGTAATCAGCTTTCGCGTAATTGCGAATGAATTTGCAGTAATGTGATCTACGAGGAGCAGAGAGAGAGAGAGAGAGAGTTAAATCGATGACGAGATGGTCACTAATGCCGGGTAAGTATATGATGTTACTGAAGAGTGAGGGGTCTTGGCTTAAGCACAAGTCGAGTATATTGCTACAGTGATTAGTAATCCTAGTAGGCTGAGTGATAACATTCGTAAAGTTGAAATCTAAACAAAAGTCTATAAATTCTTGAGACAATGCGCAACTAGAAGAGAGGGCAGATCAGTCAACGTTCGGGTAATTGAAATCACCAAAGAGAGTAACAAAGGCGTTAGGGTATTTAGTGGTGATTTCAGAAATACACTTATATAGCTTGTTAACAAATTCTTTATCACTATCTGGCGGTCTATAGCACACAGCCACTATTACGGGGGGCGTCGTAGCGACGTACACAAATACAACTTCTAAGTCAGTAAGAATTGGTATAACCCGGGACGGAATGTGATTATTTATAGCTAAAAGCACACCACCCCCCCCCCCCCCCCCCCCCTCCTAGCGGATCTATCACACCTATACACACGAAAGTTTGGACACAAAGGAAAAAGTTCAGTATCGGATATATCGGGGCTTAGCCACGTCTCGGTAAGCACAAGGAAATCTGCGTTGCATCCCTCAACCAAGGAAATTACATCATCTCTTTTTTGGTATCAAGCTTCTAATATTAGTAAATAAAATAGAATGATAAGAAGGTTCGTTACAGATATCACGGCGTTTTGCAGGTTGATTGGGTGACGAAAAACGAAATGAACGCTGGCATTGCTATGCACTTTTTTCCTTCACGGCACCGAGAGCGGCGTCATATACAAAACACTTATTATCTAAAAACAGCTTATCGTGACGCAGCTTGTAAGTCGTGCCTTTAGGCTTGGCAAAATCAAGAAGGTGACGGCGCGCAAGTCGGACAGAAATGGGAAAATCTTCACTGATTGCTACACGTGTTCCTTTGTGCTTAAATGCCGACGAAAGAATGCCCTCTTTATCCTTAAATGATGAAAACTTCACAATTATAGGGCGACATTTCTGTGGATTGAACGCTCCCAAGCGGTGCGCTCTTTCAATTTTGCTTGATTCGATATTCACGCCTAGGTTACTGGAACACAGGCCGGTTACCAAGCCCTCGGACTGGGCCCACGTTTCCCTATCGGTGTCAGTGACGCCAAAAAATAGAAGGTTGTTACGACGGGATCTGCCCTCCGCGTCGTCACAACGAGTTTTCAGCTGCGAAAGTTCATTTAGAGCTGTAGTAAGCTGAGGTTCGGTAGGTGTGACGTTACCAATTTCCTTCTGCTTTAGTAAGTCGAGTTCAGTTGTTAGGTTGATAACGCGTTCTTCCAGAGCGGAAGCAGATTTTACGCTTTCTATGTTTTTCTGTGTTAGTAGGTTTACCTCTTGTTGCAGAAGAGCAAGGCTACTCTGAAGTTTCGCGACCGTCTGCACAAGCGCAAGGAATTCATCCTCTTGTTGCTTGCTCATAGGGCCTGGGTTCTTCTCTACATCCCCAGACAACAAAAGCAACAAAGCTCTGAAAGATTCAATACACGCTTTAAAAGATTCAATAAAAGCTCCGGGGCATGGAAGCACAACTAGGCAAACATAATTCGACCTAAAACAGTGGCAGGGTTTACGACTACTAACCTGCGGCAAGACGAAAAACATAAGCCATCTCATCGCTGCAAAGCTTCCATGCCCACTGGCGCGCTGTAGCCGGGGGGGTCCCTTCGTAGGCGCTTCCGTTGATGTCGCTGTTGATGGCATAGCACGAGCGAGGTCCTCTGTGATCTTGATCCCAGCGGGCAACACTGTGGTCGACGAGCGCGTGGCGGATGGTAGCTCGCGGCCCGTAAACCGGAGCAAAGCTGCGCCGTCATCGTGTCGCCGGCTGGAAGGGGACGCACGCGCTGACACGGACAGGAGCTGCGGCAAGACGAAAAACATAAGCCACCTCATCGCTGCAAAGCTTCCATGCCCACTGGCGCGCTGTAGCCGGGGGGGTCCCTTCGTAGGCGCTTCCGTTGATGTCGCTGTTGATGGCATAGCACGAGCGAGGTCCTCTGTGATCTTGATCCCAGCGGGCAACACTGTGGTCGACGAGCGCGTGGCGGATGGTAGCTCGCGGCCCGTAAACCGGAGCAAAGCTGCGCCGTCATCGTGTCGCCGGCTGGAAGGGGACGCACGCGCTGACACGGACAGGAGCTGCGGCAAGACGAAAAACATAAGCCACCTCATCGCTGCAAAGCTTCCATGCCCACTGGCGCGCTGTAGCCGGGGGGGTCCCTTCGTAGGCGCTTCCGTTGATGTCGCTGTTGATGGCATAGCACGAGCGAGGTCCTCTGTGATCTTGATCCCAGCGGGCAACACTGTGGTCGACGAGCGCGTGGCGGATGGTAGCTCGCGGCCCGTAAACCGGAGCAAAGCTGCGCCGTCATCGTGTCGCCGGCTGGAAGGGGACGCACGCGCTGACACGGACAGGAGCTGCGGCAAGACGAAAAACATAAGCCACCTCATCGCTGCAAAGCTTCCATGCCCACTCTATGCTCTATGCTATGCTCTTCTATGCTCACTATGCTAGTGGAGCAAACAAATGTGTACAGTACGCAGAAATACGGCAGCTCCGTGACACAACTCTGCAAGAGCTGGAGCAGTATATTAGAATATACCTGAAAATGGGGCTTACAAAATGACGAACGTCATATGCTACTGCGAGAATGGGACAAGGTATTCTCCTATCGCTGACAAGAGGTCGAGAAATTGTTTCTTGAAGCTGATTCAATGCATGCATGTTGTAAACAACATGGAAACCACCAAAGAAGCGAAGGAGGACAAGTTGTGGAAGATTCGCTTTTGGATTTTATTATTCCAGCACAACCTCTAGAGCACTGAACAAGAAGAGTTCAATGCGGTGGATGTGATAATGGTGTTATTTACAGGAAGGAGCTCGCTAAAACAGTACATCCCAAACAAACCGACGCCGTGGGGTTTCACGCTTTGGGGACGGGCAGGCACAACCGGTGTCCTTTACCAGTTCGAGGTATACCAAGGCCACTCCAAAGAAAACTACATTTTTGGACTTGGGGTGATACTGTCCTGAGCATCTGCTCTGAAATACGTTCAAATGAAGACTTCAAGGTTGCAGCTGACAATTTTTTTAGCTCTTTGAACCTTGTTGAAGGGCTAACGAGAGGAATACAGTACGTTGGAACTCTGAGGCAAAATCAGCTGAGAGACTGCAAATTCCAAGATGAGAAGACTCTGAGAAAAGTTGGCCAAGGCTCACATGATGACAGAGTTGACAATGACAAAGGAATTGTGGTAGTTCGCTGGTTTGACAGGAAAGCTGTCACCCTAGTGTCAAACGTCGTCTCTGTTGAGTCAATTCAGCAAGTCAAACGGTATGACCGGAAGACCAAACTCCACATTGACATCACACGCCCGGCAATTGTTGGTATGTACAACAGTTTTGGGGGGGGGGGGGGGGATCGACCAGCATAATTATCAGGTGTCGCTGTACAAATACACAATTCGATCGAGGCGCTGGTACATGTACCTCATATATCATGCTACCTTCATCTGTGTCGTGAATGCCTGGAATATTCACAGGCGCCAAAGCCATCAGCTGAAGGAGCGGCCACTCAAGCTGAGAACCTTCATTGCCAGTTTATCAGAAAGCCCAATCTCTACTGGAAATGCGCCAAAAGGACGGCCGGTCAGTCTGCCTTCGCCTCCGATGAAGAAGAGGAAGTTCACGCCAAGTCATCCCCAAGATGACGTTAGAAAAGACGGGGTTGGGCATCTTCCAACTATGGCGAGCAACCAACTTCGATGCAGGAACTGTGTGCTCAGCGTGAACACATTTAGCACGGTTGTGTGCGCGAAATGCATTGTAACTCCGAGTCTGAGCAAGCGACGCAACTGTTTCTTTGAATACCACAAGCCACGAGACTGCAGCTGGCAAAGACGTAGCAGAAAAGCCCAGTGTAGCATATTTGATATGTTCAATAATTTTTCACTTGTTTGAAATTTCATTGTTCTTTTTGTATGAATGTACTTACTTTGCCATAAATAATGGCACACAAGTTTCTACAATTTTAATTTGCCTAGAAATATGTTTGGGCTTAAATTTCTCAAGCACTTAAATTTGATTATAATGCAATTAAATGCAAATGTGCAAGCGAGCTGGACAAGAATGACGAATTTAATTGCATTTAATTGCATTATAATCATAACCTTAAAATTGCAAGCTTCACCCTTGTTGGTGTTAGACTGGTGGCGGCTGATAAAACCCGTTTGCTCTACTGATGTCTAACCCCTGGTTAGCTCAATTGGTAGAGCGCTCCACCTGTAATGGAGAGGTCCCGGGTTCGATACCCGGACCAGGCGGATCTTTTCGGTCGCGCACCAGTCACCAGCTGTGTTTGGAGATTTGTGTTTGTCCTTTGTCCCTCTTGTTCCCCTTCTCCAGGGATTATTTTCGTCACTTAAATTTAGTGCTTGAGAATAGGTGACAATTGTAGCGGGCAAACGCTGGCGGCACACTTTCCCGTGTTGACCGTGTGACCGATGATTCGCTCTGCTCGCTCCACTTTAGAATCTCCTAAATTATACTCGTGTAAAAAAAAAAGATTGGGGTACCTGTAAAAGAAACAAAAACAACTAGCATAGCCGAGGTTTCTTCTTTTTTTTTTTGTGCTGCTTTTGGGGAACATGTACACCGATATCAAATTATTTTAAATCTTTCAGTTTTCTGTTGACAACAAAAGGTTGGCACTTTTCAAGTATGGGGGCACTTGATATAAACAGTGTATTAAGCTCAAAACATTAGGACATTACAACCAAAACTATACTGTGTATATATATATATAAAGTGGCTATAATGAAGACAAAGTGCTCAGGTGGCAATTGTTTGTATTCTTTTATTTTCCAAACCTGATTATACAATTTTATATTGAAAATATTTTCCTCTAAAAAATAAATAAAACTCATAAAACAACCTTGTAGGTACTTTTGACACATTGTGGAAATGGAAATCTGAAAAGGAGTCTTTTTCCAGCACCGGACTATCGAACTATAATAGTTATAGTAACGATACTTTCAAAAGCCAGAAACAACCCTTTGAATATGAAACAAACCAGAAAACTTACATGGAAACAGGGAACGTTTAACCAAAAAACAATGTTATGTATGCATTACAAACATATAAAGTCATCAAAATATGCAACATCACAGTCACTTCACCATTTAAAAAAAATACCTGAAAATATGTATAACACAAAAAGGGATATGGTTTACACCAAGCAAGATACTGCGCCATAAAACCAAAGTTTCAACAATAAAAGAAGGTATGAGTGGGTACCCAAAAATAACCGGAATGAATTTCAGGAGGCCGGGCATTCGTAGTACCAGCATCCACCTCTTGCAGCACCCTTCCCAAGTTAGTTTGCCGACCGGTAACGTCTGCTAAGGATCTAGCGGCATGTTGTGAATTTCCCCAAGCGCTTCAAAATCATTCCTTGTTTTTTGCAATGTCTGACTTGAAGGACCTTCCACATCCATAAAATGATTTACTTTCAAGACTTTTCATACGGGTGAACAGAAAAAAGTCACTCGGGGCGAGGTCCTGAGAATATGGGAGGTTGAGAAGCAGTGTCATGCCAGGACAGTGTCTGCTGAGGCATTGTTGTGATGGAACTATCATTCCCCATTTCCCTCAAATCGGGGCATTTCTGCCTTACTGAGTTTTGCAAGTGTCGCAAAATTCTCCGGTAAAACACCTGGTTAACAGATTCACCAAGAGGAACAAACTCTGAGTGATCAATGCCCAAATATTTTGTGTTCTTCTTCAGTTGAGGAGGTTAAAGGTCGCCCAGAACGAGGTTGCTCATCGATCAAAAAATCACCAGTCTTAAAGCGAGAAAACCACTTGCAATTTCTTATTAGCATCTTCCTTGTAAGCTCTCTGAAGCATTACAAGAGTTTCTGGCACAGTTTTACCTAAAGCAATAATTCACAGCCCCATGTTGTTCTTTCATATCAGACATTGAAAAAAAAAAAGAAAGATTTTGAAGTGCTTGGAAAAAATATTTGCAGCAGACAATGCCAGTCGGCAAACTCGCTCGGAAGAGGTGCTGCAAAGCGCTGCTAGCGGCGGAAGCTGGTACTACAAACAGCCCGCCTTTCAGAAATTCATTCCGGTTACTTTTGCATCCAACCTGGAACGAATCACTGCACCAAAAGCTTTCGATATATGCCATGTTTAAAAAAAAAGATGGCAACCAGTCAAAGAGGCTCAATAGACCTTATGAAAAATTGTTTGGTGATCTGACAACACTGAGAGCGTCGCCATTTTAATGTTGGCAAGCGTCGTCGGTACCAAAGCACGGTGGAGGCATCAGAGAGAGCCGTACGGGCAGTGTACGATGGCGCAGCAGCTGTTTTCCGCCTTCTGACCATGAAATGTGGACAAACAGTTTAAGCAACCTACCGCAACTGTCTGATGAAGCTCTAGGAGGCCTGTGCACGCTGGCAACAACCTCGTCGAAGCAGCGGAGCAAGTCCTTCGCCTTTGCTGTACAAGCTAACACACTGCGGGTTGTCGCCAGCGTGTGCACAGGCCTCTGAAAGTTTCATCAGACTGTTGCGGTAGGTTGTTTAAACTGTTCGTCCCCGTTCCATGGTCAGAAGGCGGAAAACAC